ACTGATTTGCATGACAGGCCAGACAGCTTGTGTTCCTATGTAGGTGGTTCACATACATGTATATCTACAGTGGGGATCGAAAGTTTGGGCACCCCAGCTCAAAATTTGTATTAATGTGCATAAAGAAAAATCTCCAAAAGGCATCAAATTACAGATTAGACATTCTTATAATATGTCAACAAAAGTTAGATTTTATTTCCATCATTTACACTTTCAAAATAACAGAAAACGAAAAAATGGTGTTTGCAAAAGTTTGGGCACCCTGCAGAATTTATAGCATGCACTGCCCCCTTTGCAAAGCTGAGACCTGCCAGTGTCATGGATTGTTCTCAATCATCGTCTGGGAAGACCAGGTGATGTCAATCTCAAAGGTTTTAAATGCCCAGACTCATCTGACCTTGCCCCAACAATCAGCACCATGGGTTCTTCTAAGCAGTTGTCTAGAAAACTGAAACTGAAAATAGTTGACGCTCACAAAGCTGGAGAAGGCTATAAGAAGATAGCAAAGCGTTTTCAGATGTCAATATCCTCTGTTCGGAATGTAATTAAGAAATGGCAGTCATCAGGAACAGTGGAAGTTAAAGCAAGATCTGGAAGACCAAGAAAAATATCAGACAGAACAGCTCGCAGGATTGTGAGAAAAACAATTCAAAACCCACGTTTGACTGCACGATCCCTCCAGAAAGATCTGGCAGACACTGGAGTTGTGGTACACTATTCCACTATAAAGAGATACTTGTACAAATATGGTCTTCATGGAAGAGTCATCAGAAGAAAACCTCTTCTACGTCCTCACCACAAAAATCATCGTTTGAACTTTGCAAATGAACATATAGACAAGCCTGATGCATTTTGGAAACAAGTTCTGTGGACCGATGAGGTTAAAATTGAACGTTTTGGCCGGAATGAGCAAAGGTACGTTTGGAGAAGAAGGGGCACAGAATTTAATGAAAAGAACTTCTGTCCAACTGTTAAGCATGGGGTTGGATCAATCATGCTTTGGGGTTGTGTTGCAGCCAGTGGTACAGGGAACATCTCACGAGTAGAAGGAAAAATGGATTCAATAAAATTTCAGCAAATTTTGGATGGTAACTTGATACCATCTGTGAAAAAGTTGAAGTTAAAGAGAGGATGGCTTCTACAAATGGATAATGATCCTAAACACACCTCAAAATCCACGGGGGATTACATCAAGAGGCGTAAACTGAAGGTTTTGCCATGGCCTTCACAATCTCCTGACCTCAACATAATTGAAAATCTATGGATAGACCTTAAAAGAGCAGTGCGTGACAGACAGCCCAGAAATCTCAAAGAACTGGAAGACTTTTGTAAGGAAGAATGGGCAAAGATACCTCAAACAAGAATTGAAAGACTCTTGGCTGGCTACAAAAAGCGTTTACAAGCTGTGATACTTGCCAAAGGGGGCAGTACAAGATATTAACTCTGCAGGGTGCCCAAACTTTTGCAGACGCCATTTTTTTGTTTTCTGTTATTTTGAAAGTGTAAATGATGGAAATAAAATCTAACTTTTGTTGACATATTATAAGAATGTCTAATCTGTAATTTGATGCCTTTTGGAGATTTTTTCATCTTTCCTTGGCTTCTTTATGCACATTAATACAAATTTTGAGCTGGGGTGCCTAAACTTTCGATCCCCACTGTATGTAATCCTCCCGCGCTACTGACCCCCAAAACAAATTGCGAGAAGCAATACCATACACCTTACCATATACCACATGGGGAAATGTACAAATTTAAAGCTAATTGGTGCTGCGCTAACTCCAAGTATTAGAAGAACATATAATATATAATGAGATCGCCTTAAGAAGTCCCCTTCACAAAGTACTAATTCATAAATATAAACAAACATAAAGTGGTAATATAAACCAAATTTTCACCAGACCTCAATATGGAATAAAATAGACATAAAACATCCAAAAATGTGGATAGTAAAAGTGAAAAGCACCCAAACATAAAAGGGCGTAACCTAGGTACACCCCTGACAATAAATAGGTGACTGTGGGTGAAAATTAAAACTACTTCATCTCTATTTGAACTTGCCAACATGAAAAGTGATATGATCTATAAAAAAGAATCCCAAAAAGACAGTGCTTCTTGTAATGTGAAAATAAGCCACAAGACTTATGCAACACTAGAAAAGTTACTAAGGAAGATAATCTAAACAAAAACATATGAATATTAAGTGAAAATAGTGAAAATGGATTGAAGTGAAAAAACAAAATCAGTGCCCCCCTAAAACATGTGTATAAATATTTTGATAAGTGACATTGACTATACGGACTAGAAATAGCGCCCAAAATATATAAATGACCCAACAAATAATAAATCACATAAAAACCATATAGTCCAGCAAATAATATAAAATCCAATGCACCGCACACGGTGAAGGTGTTCTGTAGTTCTAAATGGTGCAGGTGTTTAAAGGTGAATACACACAAAAAGGAGGAGATCCGAAACTAGGCGAAATGCCTCCTCACCTCCATGGAGTGACCCTACAGGGCCAAAAAAGCTTTTTTCACACAATATCACACCAACCAGGAACCAGGACCCACATCAGAAGGTATCAGGTACAGCGATGGATAAATCCCTCTCACTGGTGGATATTGGCACAACAGGAACCCTCTCCAGCCAATTCACTGAGTTGTTAGCCCACGCTCTTCATCTTCATGGCCATTTAATACTGTGCGCAACTTGTCCATCTCTGCACCACTTTACTGCAGCGCTTAACTCAGCCACTCTTTCCACTGCCACTACCGGAGTGTCAGGAACTGCGCTGCCACATACATGCGATCCACACGCAGGGCATTTTGAGTGCAGATGCAAAAAAGGTCCGTGTGAGTTTTTAGCGATGCTAAAGAGGATGGAAGACATTTTTTCATGGAAGAGAGAGAGGGAGGCAGAAAGAGAGAATGACTCCTATGGAGAAGACAGAAGCCAAAGTCACATCTCTTCATAAATTGCACTGAAACCGCAATGGTATTCAAACAGAACCCCATACATAAATTGAAATAGAAAACTGAGCGATTTCAGCGCACATATGTATGAACCAGGGCTCCAGCTGCACCACACTGAGATAGAGAGAATTGCATCATTTTACAGCAGATGCAGCCCAACGAATGAAGTACCAGGTCACTTGAACTCAGGGGCGGACTGACAACTCATGGGGCCCCTGGACAATAGGGGATCATGGGGCCCCTGTGTCCTTGCCAAAACTCAAAAAAGCCTATGAAAAAGGTATCAGGGGCATTTCATGGGGCCCCCTACTGACCCTGGGCCCACGGGCAGTGCCAGAGTTTCCAAATGGTCAGTCTGCCCCTGCTTGAACTTAAACTACACAAAGAAAAGAACACCATACCCAATATTGGTCCCTCCCTACCCAGTTTATCTTTTTGAGCCAAAATGACTTGCAAAGGCTTTGTAACCCCACCAAATGCCATGACATTGAGCCCTGGTTCACACTGATAAGGTGCAGAATTCACAGCGTTTTCAGTGCGAATTCCGCACCGCATCACAATCGCACCCCGTTCATACGAACCAATGCAGGTTTGTATGTTAGGTTAACAACACCCTGACATCGGTCCGCAAAAAGAGTGATGTGCAGAATCGGATCGCATAGGTGTGAATACCTATGCGATCCGATTCTAGTACGGACCAAAAAAGGGTCCTGCACGTATTTGGTGCGGGTGTGGTGCGAATAGAGCCACACAAAATGTATGGCTCTAATCGCACCGCATACAAATCGCATGTGATTTGTACAGGAATAAGGTGCGGTTCCTGTGCCAATCACATGGAATTTACCGCACCTCTGTATCTCCTAGATTGTAAGCTCGAAAGGCGCAGGGCCCTCGATCCCCTCATGTTTTGCATTGTATTGGTATTGTTCTGTCACATGTTCTGTCCCCCTTTGTAATGTACAGCGCTGAGCGAACTATTGGCGCTTTATAAATACTGTATAATAATAATAATAATAATAATTGTGAACCTAGGCTCAAGTTTCAAACCCTGCAAACCTAAAACATAATTGAATAGGGTGGGCGGGAAGTTCACCCAAAACTAGCCTTCAACAGCTTCACTCCTCCCCATGGACCACCCCTGAAGCCCATCCTGCCAGCCATCAGCCCCTCTAATTGAGTAATACCACACTTTTAGGCTGCCCATACATTATACAATTTTCTGTCCAATTTCTGGCCAATTTCCTTTGGATTTACCTTCAACTATGTGGTGTAAGGGCCTGCTTAATTGGATACAGCTGAAAGTGTTGTTTATGTTTGACCTCGTATTATATGTTTTTTGGTAAATCTAAAGCAAAAATCTCAAAAAATTGTATAATTATGGCCATCCTAACGCTCTCCTCCCAACCTTGACCTGTGTGCTCACCAGCTCCTGTCAAACCATGACATGTAGGCCCTGCTCTTATGCTTCTGGCCTCTTTCGCTCAGGGACTCGCCAACTCCAACTGGAGCTAATGGAGGGACAAATCATTCATAGGAATAATATTTATAAAGATTGCCACATACACTTAATATATGGACTGCATTACAAAGTTGTATTTATTTTCCAGCGCCAGTACTGTTTTGAATCTCGTGATCTTTTTATAACAATATTAGTTGCTACTTTTAACTAATGGCACTAGCTTTATACAGTATTACGCTATTTGCCCCCCCCCTTTTCTTTCTTTGCACCCACCGTCCGTCCATGAGCGAGAGTTTGCGGATCGCCAGGGAAGGATTGTTGGGGGTCGTTTGAAAGGATTTCATGTCCATCTAAGCTTGTAATTAATTTTTAAATGTAAGTGTAAGGCCCCATGTACACGAGACACTTCTGAACGATGGAAACTGACTGCTGAAAAACGTAGGTTAAAAAACGTCTGTTTAGCCGCGTTTGCATAACGCGTTTATGTGCGTTTGCATTTAGAAGCGTTTTTTTTTAAAGATAAGCACAGGAGAACCTCCTAAATGCCCAGAATGCACTGAAAAGTGGTAAATTATTAACCTCCCTGGCGGTATTCCCGAGTGTAGCTCGGGGTAAAGTTTCAGTACCAAAAGCGGTAACCCCGAGCTACACTCGGGCTTACTATGCGGCGTTGCTCAGGGATTCCCTACAGCGCTTACCTTGTCCTTCGCTCTCGCGATGCATCCCCTGCAGCGTCCCCCGCCATCTCCTCTGGCCGATGCCGGCATCTGGCTTCCGTGTTCCAGTCCCTGTGACGTCGGGACGTAAGGGCGCCGGAACCAGCGGCAAATTTGAAAATTTAAAAAAAATAAAAAAATTTTTAAAACGATTATTTCATAGCAAAACATTACTGTATCAAAGCATTTCACATACATTTTGTCCCGAGTGCTTTGTCCTGTGCCCTGCCTGCATTTTTACTGTTCTTTCTGCCTGGAAACTTAGAAAAGTCCATGGCGTCCAAAAAGCGTCCCTTTAGGTCAAAAGCGGGTTTAGATCAGCTAGAGAACAGCGATAGTAAATCAGAACTACTTGCAGAATTGAGTGATAATGATTCGTGGGGAAATTCGTCATCAGACACTGAAAACGATTTTGCGACTTTGCTCAGTGATGTGCGAACTTGGCGCTATATTTCAAATTTCAGTGTTTTGGTTTGATTATATTATTGAATTAAATTTATTATTATTATATTATTATTTTTTATGAGTATTTATTAAGTAAGTAATTACTAAGATTTGCAGGCCTACAATACATAACACCAAATTTAAATGCAAAAAAATGGTACCGCTTTTGGTACAAATTTCCTGACATAATCATACCGCCAGGGAGGTTAACTATTTCAGACTGTTTCAGAGAAATACAGAGAGTAGAAGCAGAGACGGCAGTATTTGTTGAGATTAGTTAGATGTGAGTTGCTCATTAACATTTCTTTTGTTTCCAAGGGTGGGAAAGGTGTCTAGTGGAGTGAGTCATTAAGGCCACCTGGCAGGGGGTCTGCATGAGGAATTTGAGGTGTGAATGGTCATTAACATATCTTTTGTTTCCAAGGGTGGGAGAGGTCTGAGGTGTGAATGGTCATTACAATGTGTGACAAGCTTGGTGGGAACATCCTGTGTTCAGTGTTTTATCCATCTGAGTACATTGAAAACGCTTTGCATGCATTTTTCATGATGAAAAAAGGCTCTGGACAGCATCGGGAACTGGAAGAATTAAAAAACATTTTAGTCGCAAACGCTTATAAACGCGATTTGCCGTGTTTAGACGTGTTTAGAAGCATTTTGCATTTGAAACGCTGATCAAATCGACTGATGAACGCAAGTTTTCTGCATTCAAAAAAACGACTGTAAACTCAAATGCCTGTAAACAACTGTAAACGAAGATGTGTACATGGACACAGGAAAACATTGGGGTGAGTTCAGGGGCTGCTGAAAACAACACTGAACAGCTCCTAAATGTTAGTTTATCAGCTGCAGTGTATATGATGAACATTAGTTCTGTTTTTTAGTTTATGCATTATTACACAATTTTTTGTTTTTTCTTTTCTCTTTTTTTTCATCCACTCGAGAGGGATTGTTCAGAAAATTATTTCAGAAAATTATTGAAGATATTGGAGATATAACTGTGGAGATCTCATCTCACCTCCAAAGTGTAGGGCAGCACAGTGGCTAAATGGTTAGCACTTCCACCTGACAGTACTCAGGTTGCTGGTTCAAATCCCAACCACGGTGCCACCTGCCTGGAGTTTGCATGTTCTCTGTGTGCCTGTGTGGGTTTCCTCCCACTCTCCAAAGACATGCTGGTAGGTTAATTGGCTCCTATCTAAATTGGCTGTAATATATGAATGTGAGTTAGGGACCTTAAATTATGCACCCCTTGAGGGTTAGGAACTGATGTGAATGTACAATATATATGTAAAGTGCTGCGTAAATTGACGGCGCTATATAAGTACCTGAAATAAATAAATAATAAAGTGTGTTTCTGATTTCTAAAGCTATTACCAACCTGGGAAATCACCTGATTGGGTGAGTGTGCGTGAATATTTGAACCACTACAGATGATTTGAGCACGTTGGGAATCACAATTTTTGTAGCAAGTTTTTTTGAAACTTTTATCTGGGACTTATTTGAACTTTCTTTCTTTATTTTAAAATTGGTTTGCGCTGCCTTTAATTTTGTTTGTATTTTGATGTTTTTTCATCTTTTGAGCAGCAGCATTCTTTGATTGTGTTTTATTTCTTTGGCACAGGTTATTTCAGATTTCTTTTAACCGCTTGCCGCCCTGCCACTGTATATATACGTGTGCAGGGTGGCACTCAGGCGCAAAACCACGTTTTAAAACGGGTTCCGCACTCCCGACGTTTTCACTGGCAGGAGGCGCGCACGCGCTCCCGCCAACCCACAGGTGACACCATTCGATCCCGGAGGGATCAATCATTAGATTTCAGCCAGTGATGTCTGGCTGAAATCACATGATCGGTCCCTGTCCTATCCTGTCCTGTGTTGAAGTTTACACAGGACAGGATATGATGTCATTCTTCTCTGCCTGGACACATTCCGTTCCAGACAGAGAAGAAGAAACAGTAAAAGTGAGTAAAACATTACACATTTACAGTTAGAACACACCTAGGTCACATTTAACCCCCTGATTGCCCCCCCAGTTAACCCCTTCACTGCCCTGTCACCAGTGTCACTGATCAGTGAATCGATTTTTGCTGATCACTGTATCAGTGTCGCTCGCGACTTCCGATAGTGTTAGCGCCCCTCCAAGATAGCGCCAGATTGCCCGCCAGTACACCAGTAATCCCGTTTAACCCCTTGATCGCCCCCCCAGTTAACCCCTTCACTGCCCTGTCACCAGTGTTACTGATCAGTGAGCCGATTTTTACTGATCACTGTATCAGTGTCGCTCGCGACTTCCAATAGTGTTAGCGCCCCTCCCAGATAGCGCCAGATTTCCCGCTAATACACCAGTAACCCCGTCTAACCCCTTGATCGCCCCCCCCCGAGTTAACCCCTTCACTGTCCTGTCACCAGTGTCATTGATCAGTGAACAGATTTTTACTGATCATTGTTTCAGTGTCGCTGGCAACTTCCAATAGTGTTAGCGCCCCTCCCAGATAGCGCCAATTTGCCCGCCAGTACACCAGTAATCCCATTTAACCCCTTGATCGCCCCCCCCCCAGTTAACCCCTTCACTGCCCTGTCACCAGTGTCATTGATTACAGTGAACAGATTTTTACTGATCACTGTATTAGTGTCACTGGTGACTTCCGATAGTGTTAGCGCCCCTCCCATATAGCGCCAGTTTGCCCACTAATGCACGGGATTTTTTTTTACCAAAAACATGTAGCAGAATACATTTTGGCTTAAATTTATGACTAACTTTGAGTTTACGATATATTTTTTTATAGCTGAAAGTAGAAAATATAGTTTTTTTTCAAAATTTTTGTGTTTTTTTTTGTTTATAGCGCAAAAAATAAAAAGCGCACAGGTGTTAAAACACCACCAAAAGAAAGCTCTTTTTGTGTGAAAAAAAAGGACATAAATTTCGTTTGGGTACAGCATTGCATGACCGCGCAATTATCATTTGAATTAGTGTAGCGCTGTATAGCAAAAAAAGGCATAAATTACAGTATCTATACTATAGTTTGTAGACGCTATAACTTTCACACAAAGCAATCAATATACACTTATTGGGATTTTTTCTACCAAAAACATGTAGCAGAATACATTTTGGCTTAAATTTATGACTAACTTTGAGTTTACGATATATTGTTTATAGCTGAAAGTAGAAAATATAGTTTTTTTTCAAAATGTTTGTGTTTTTTTTGTTTATAGCACAAAAAATAAAGAGCGCACAGGTGATCAATTACCATCAAAAGACTCTATTTGTGTGAAGAAAAGAACGTAAATTTGTTTGGGTACAGCATTGCATGACCGCGCAATTATCATTTGAATTAGTGCAGCGCCAAACAGCAAAAAAAGGCCTGGTCATTAAGGGGGGTAAATCCTCAGGAGCTCAAGTGGTTAATGGCACTAGCGTACCTGGACAAATGTAAAGGGGTTTTGCTTTATTCAATGCATACACGGTATGTTCCTCTAGCACATTTTATAAAACTTTCTATAACATTAAATTGAAGCTATGGACACCAGTTAATGCTCACTCAGGCTGTTATTGAAGCAGTTGGTATTTGTCAAAGAGACTGCAAGCTTTCAAAAGGTTCATTAAGTTGCTTTCTGCAGGCTGGAGCTCCGACTCCTGATAGGTGATTTTGGCAAACATTATTCCCTTTCTGTTCAGTGTCAGGTGACTCTTTTATTCTATTACAGCTATTATACTGTATGTGTGCTGTTTCCTCCAGATGTGCCCTGGGGTTTTGCTTTTATTGTTTAAAAGCATTGCAGCATACCAGGTGCCATAGATGATATTTTGGCATTTTGTATATTGATGTCTCGGTATGTGGGATAATGGGTGAGAAGAGATCTTTGCTGAAAAATTGCATTTTTAGACAAATCTACTCTCAACAATGGGATTCATTGACAGTAAGTGCCAAAAGAATGGATTGTTTGCCTTAACCAGTGCAAAAAGCTTTATTTTTTGTATCATTATTATTATTATAGGTTTACACTGTGTGACTATTTTACAGGTACATCTATCTAGCACCTATAAAATAGTGCATAGGGACAGCAGTATTAAAGTGTTACTAAACCCACAACAGTACAATCAGTCTGTATATGCAGTAAAGCATGCTTGTTATACTCACTGAGGAACCTAAGAGGGTAATCCTCTGCATTGTGTAAAAAGGATGTTTGATCCGGACTTCTCTGATCCTCCCTTTCTTCCAGTATCCCCCTCTTATCTCCTGATAAGACATATCATGTGGAGTCTCTGTGCACATGCTCCGTTTGGTGTGTATTGCTAGAGAGGTGGTTTTTTTGGGAGAGTACATGTGGTCATCACAGGGCCAATCAGTGCTGTCTAGACAGAGGTTAGAGGTTCTGCATCCTCCTAGAGCAAAATGGAAACTCCTCATACAAGCTTTAACCAGTGCTTGGCTGGACACTGATAGAAATCACCAGACTGCTCTAACTGCGGATGAGGAAAGGTATTTAGCAGTTTATATT